AACACAGGAAGCCAAGAAAGATAGCAGTCAGGGAACAAGGCCAAGGGTCAGAGGTTGAAGCTGTGTCAGGACCCTGAAACTGGGTGGAGAAGTTGGCAAGGGTGAGCTCTCCAGTAATGGAGCTCCCCACCCCACCCCACCATACACACAATGACCCCCTGCCAGGTGGATCTTCCTGCCCATCCCTGCATTGCATGCTTTTCCATTTTCCTTGTGGCTTCATGTCACACTGTGCCTCTCACCTTGGGATTCTAAGACATCAGTCACGTCGGCAGATCAAGAGCCAGTTGCTAAACACACCCCTTGAAGTTGCTGGGAATTCAGGTGTGTGTCGGCTGGCCCTCCATGTAGACCAGGTGTGGGTGACTTAGGACTTCAAAGGTCTTGGGCAGGAAAGAGGTTGTGAGCTCAAATAGGTGAGTCAGGTCCATTGTTTCATATATCTGAAAAAAATCAATTGAGTCCAAAGTAAAACATGTATTTAACCGGCAAAAGTGTATGGCTAATTGGTTTTTAAAGGATATGCTTCCTGATCCTTGATACCAAAAGGGACCTGAGATTAAAAAACAAAACAAAACAAAAAACAATTTGCAAGGACTGAGTTCTGGAAATGGCTATCTGAGGCCAAGTGAGCACAGAAAATAGCAAAATAGCAGAGTCCACAGAAGATAGCTCTGTCTTCCCTTTAGGGGTAGTACTACTCCAGTGAGAGTTAGCACAGAAAACCTGCAAGCATGTACACAGAAACAGCAGGCTGATGGGGGTAGGCCCTCCCAGGGATCACTATCTCTAATAGATGAAAGCTTGGCCTTCCCTGCATGGGTTCTGGGTCAGGGCCAGGCATGTCCCTGACTCCCTGACTCCTTGCCTTATTTTTCTGTAAGATGGGCTCTTAATTTAGATAGCACTTACAATGATCCTGCCCCAAACAGCCCAAAGGTGAAGTTGCAGGCCGCTGTGCCCCAGGTGTCCTCAGAGAACAGGTTCTCAACCCTGAAGAAGATCTGGTAGGTTTTGAGGCTCTTAGGATGGCTGTGTCTGGATCCTTATCGACTTTAGATGCTTCTGTGGAGAGCAGCAGAGGCAGGTGCTACTGTGTGCTACTGCAGTGAGTGTGATGTGAGCCCTGCCTGGGTATAGCTTCTGAGAGTCAGAGAGGACTAGGACTCTGAAGCCATCTTTTTTTTTTTTTTTTTTTTTTTTTTTTTGGTTTTTCAAGACAGGGTTTCTCTGTGTAGCTTTGCACCTTTTCCTGGAACTCACTTGGTAGCCCAGGCTGGCCTCGAACTCACAGAGATCCGCCTGGCTCTGGCTCCCGAGTGCTGGGATTAAAGATGTGCACCACCACCGCCCGGCTGAAGCCATCTTTTGTCTCCCCACATGTGTAGTTGAAGTTTTTCTCCTGTGTCCTGCCCGCTCCCGCGGTCCCGCGGTCTGGCCTCCACTCAGACCCAAATGAACACACAGAGGCTTAATATTAATTAAAACTCCTTGGCCATTAGTTCAGGCTAACTACTGACTAGTTCTTACACTTAAACTCAGCCCATTTCTGTTCATCTATATGTCACCACGTATTCCGTGGCTTTACCTGTGTGCCATTTCATGCTGCTCCCTGGACAGTGGGCTGGCATCTCCTGACTCAGCCTTTCTCTCCCAGAATTCTCCTTCTCTGCTTATTCCACCTATACTTCCTGCCTGGCTACTGGCCAATCAGCATTTTATTTATCAATCAACCAGAGCAACACATTCACAGCATACAGAGCAACATCACCCATCACACATGCAGGGCTGATATATACTGGAAATGTGGGTGAGAACTTTGGCCAGTAGCAATGTGACCTGACCAGACCTCTCTGGAATTTCTGAAGAGACAGTGAACATCTGTGAACAACTTTCTATGTTAGGGCTTCATCAAGCCATCTTCTATATTCTATTGTCTTGGTGCATTTTGGATTTGGAATGTATATAAGTTGTCATAATCAAATGGAGTTATTTGTATCAAAATCAACCAAGGTACATTGAAAACTTCCAGAGGTTGTGAAGAAGGGAAATCTCATGCTCATGTGCCTGAATAGCAATAGCTATCTATGGACTAAGACTCTGGCAGAGCCGGAGCCAGGCAGAAACTACCCCAGCCTCACTTGGGAAACTTCTGCCAGTACTGCCTGTCCACATTTGAGTTATCGACATCCTGGTTTCTTATCCTGATGATAGCCAAGGATTAGTGTTTCAAAACAATTTATGCAGGCTTTTCACTTTACCTTTGAAAGTCTTCTTTTGTCTCATGTCCTGAGTATGCCTCAAATAAATGACTCACATGGTCTCCTTGTGGTGTTCAATCCCAAACATGGGAGTCTTTAGATACTCTCTGTGATTGAGGTTGACAAATGTGTGAAGTGTTGTTTCTGTAGCTGCTTTATCAAATTACTAGAGACTTGCTCCCTTGAAACAGCACTGACTTCTTTTCTCACAGTGCTGGAGGACACAAGTCCCACACAAAGTTATGGGCAGAGCTGGGCTCCCTTTGCAACACCAGGGAGGGTCTTTGCTGTTTTCTCAAGCTCCTATGACCCTAGGTGCTCCCCGACAAGGGCTACCTCACCTCAGCCTCTCTTCAGCCTCCACTGGATCCTCTTGGGAGTGCTTTTGACTTTTACAAGGACCGCATGTGGGCCAGCCTAATATCCCAGGGCAAATCTCAAGATTCCTGGGCAACTTTTCTTCTGTCTTATGAGGTGACATTTGACATGTGAACATTTTTCCTGGCATCTCAGGCAATTCATGCTGTTGTGAGATGCTATGGACTTCAATAGCATATGCTCCTTTCTCAGCTTGGCATCCAATCAGGCCTGGTCAGATCTACTACTGGGGACAGGTCTTCCTGCTTCCTTTCTTGACAGAGAATAAGGAAACAGCTTGCTGATGCCTCTTGAAAGGGATTGATCTGTGTGAGGTTCCCTCACTGGATTTAGCTAATGGGTATGGAAAGATACCTTGATATAGGCCTCCAGGCCCATACCAATTGTGTTTACATGAAGCAGCCATGGGAAGGGCCTTGCATATCTCTGTACATTTTAGTGTGTGTGTGTGTGTGTATGTAATATATTGACAACTCCCAAGCACTAATGTTGATTTTAACTAGTAGAGATATAACTAGGGAGAAGAGTCCTTCATTTAACATTTAAGAATGAACAGTTGCACCAGGAAAGAAAGCTAGCCCTGGGTCAGAGCCTCTTTAAGAGTAGGGGCAATGGGAACAGGGTGGGAAGCCCCTGTCCCCCATTCCTGCTTCACTCCCTGAGGTAGCAAAACCTTTTTGCCTTCAAGGATGACAGCCATTCTGCCTTCAGCCACAGCTTACACTTCCCTCACGCAGCTCTGCTCGAGTCTCCTCCTGAAGTACTACACGTGGCTCTTGTGGCTGCTCAGTACCCTTTGCCCACAGCTGCTGAGCTTTAGCACTCTCTGGGGAGACACAGTCAGAGCCAGAGCCACAGCCGCTGTGTGCCTTGTGCAATGGGAAGTCCACCTGTGAGCATTGTCAGCCGGCTGGTGTGGCTCCTGCTTGGCTTTAGGAGGAAGTGCTGTTGTGTGCTTCCCAGATTTTTTAACAGGAAAGAAACACCTAACTCAGCTAACTTGGAGCATACTAGAGTACTGCTCCTATACGCAGGATGATGGGAGCCAACAGAGCCACCCATTGCTCTATGAGGCCCATGAGGACACAGGGCCAGGGGGACCTGGATGAGCCCTCCTCCTATCTAAAATCCCCAGTCAATACCACAGCCTCCTCCTGTTAGCATTTAGGCATCTGTACTGGTCTACCTTTAGGGTCCTGACAGGATATGTCCTCAGCTACAGCCACTAAGAGCATAGCCTGTGCACATTCACTACTTTCCCTTATAAAAGGCAGGCCTTGCCCACCTCCTGTCTCTTTCTCTTCCTTAGCTCTAGTCCCCAGGGACAGGTCTCTGCCCCCTTCTCTGCCCCTGTTCTCCCCTCCCCCAATAAACCTTCCATGTGGGCCCTATTGTACGGTGTGACTCCTTCCTGCCGTTTTTAAATTACAACACCTTCTACTCCTTATGGCCAAAGACAGTTATGGAGAAAGGCAAAAACCTTCAGGGGCCAGCTTGAACCCACATTTTCTTCTGGCATACATGGGTCACCCTCATGTTGCCCTGCTTCCTTACTGGTCTTTTTGAAGATGACTGGCCCTATATTTTGGAGGTCCACATATTCAGGGATTCAGGCTGGGGAGTGAGAGCCTCCATGGAAGATCCTAAAAAACGGCAAGGGGTATCAGGTAGAAAGAGTCAGGGAGGCCTCCTCTATCCCCTACTAATTCAGCTGGCCTCACAAGAGGCAGTCCTTGCCTCAATGAAGATGCAAAACTTTAGTAAGCAGAAATGTTATTTCCAAAGTTTCTGCTGGCACTTCCATTACTGGACGAGCTGGTCCCGGGTCTCTGTCCCATACAGACTATTTCTCTCCCAAGGGCCCTCTTGGACGCTGACCTCAGTCACGCAAAATGGGATGAAAGAGGGTGTTTGGAGGTTGTGCTGTGCCCTGAGGTGCCGTTCTTAAGGTGGCAACCATAAAAACTTTTATTTTGCTTCTGAAAAATTTATGTATCTATCTGTTCACTGCCTGGAAGTCAACTAGATGGACAAAGTTCTACTCAGTAGACCCCAGGTTTGATGAAGGGACTTTCAATGTGTCCTAGGCAGGAGAACACTGTGAAACTTTTGCACCCTGCCTGTCTCTCCAACCACAGGATGAGGACTAATGGAAGCCTCTCTGTGAAGGGAACTGGTGGGAGGCGAGAGCAGCATCCCAGGGTCTGGGTAAGAGGGACCTCAGGAGGGAGTGGGGGTTGGAGGAGGTGAACGGAAGTGGGAGTGGACGCGAATACCCGCGGCACTAGCAGATGCTACTACAGACCACACTGTGTCCAATGGGGCTGTCCTGGGGAGGGTCCAGAGCAGGGTGAGGTTGCATACAGCCGGTGAGGTGGCATGGGTGAAACTGCCTCAGAGAAAGTTTTGGATTCAGCCCAAGCTCCGCCCTCCCCCTCCGGGGTCCGCCCCTTGCAGAGTTGGTCCGGTCCATCCACTTCGCCACACTGCGCAGGCGCCGCGCGAGGGCGTCCAGTTTGAAAACATGGCGCCGGGACAGCGGTTGGTTTTGTGCGAGGAGACTGTCCGGGAGCGCAGCGGCCTGGGTCCCCACCGGGACCTGGGTACGTGTGGGACCGACACCTGGGGTTCAGGGTTTCCCGCGGGAGGCAGCCTGGTCTGGTTGTTGTTCGGACGCCGCTTCGCCGAAGACGGTCTTGGCCGGTTGAGGGGGTGGGGTGGGGGAGGGCGTGGCTGCGATCCCTGGGAGCCTGTGGGCCGGGCCCGGTTTGGACGGCTGCGGTGCCCAGGCTGAGCTAGCGCCTCCTTTTTTGCAGCAGCTTCCTTCTCTGCCTTTTTAGGTCCCTACATGGTATTTCGTTGAGGGTTTTTGTATTTGTGTTTCTGAGGGATGCAGGTCTGTTTTTGTATGGTTTGGACATCAGGGCCTCATGTTTTGTGCAAGAGTTAGTGTAGAATTTGTGCTGACTCTAGAAGCAAAACCTTATTATATGGATTAAAGCTTGTTTTATAATTTAAATATTTTAATCTATAAATCTCTCTTTAAGCACCACTTAGCTGCATACACGTTTGTTAGTGTTGTATTTCCTTCCTGTTTGGAAATTACTGGAGATACAACCTAGGGCCTTGCATATGCTAAGCAAATGCTCTATCATGGAACTTCCACAACCTTTTATAGTTTTTCAAGTGTGATATTAAGCGAGTATGACCTTGATCTCCATATTTAGCCCAAGCTGGCCTTGGGTTTTTAGTCAGATTCCCAAGTAGCTGGGATTACAAGCAGTTGCCACCCACCATGACTGGCTCTGATTTTCATTGATTCCAGTATGCTTTTAAAATATCTCTTTGGAGCCGGGCGGTGGTGGCGCACGCCTTTAATCCCAGCACTTGGGAGGCAGAGCCAAGCGGATCTCTGTGAGTTCGAGGCCAGCCTGGGCTACCAAGTGAGCTCCAGAAAAGGTGCAAAGTTACGCAGAGAAACCCTGTCTCGAAAAACCAAAAAAAAAAAAAATCTCTTTGGTATCTTCTCAGACCTATGAATTACTTAAGAACTACTCACTTTTTTATACTTACTTTATATTTGTTTTTTAAAAAATCTCGTGTTTGGAGGTTTTCTTGTTATTTTCAGTTGTTGATTCTAGTGTAATTCTATTATGGTCAGAGAACAGACTGTGTATGATTTTAGTTTTCTTAAATCTGTAGAGACTGTTTAATGACCCTGAGTCTGCTTTCTATTAGAGAGTGTTCCAAGTACACTTGAAAAGTGTGCTGTTGAATGGAATGAGTATCAGGTTGATCTTCTTGGCTGGTAGTGTTCAGTTTAGTCAGAGGATTTTCTGTCTAGTGATTTTGTTATTTACTAAGAGGGTATATTAGTTTGCTTTTTAATTTCCTGTATGAAATACCTGATAAGCAACTTAAAAGAGAAAAGGTTTATTTTGACTCACAGTTGGGGGAGATAAAAGTCAAGTGAGGAAGGCCCAGTGGCTAGAGTGTAAGCCTGCTGTTCACATTTGCATTTGCAGTTAGGAAGCAGACAGTGATGGATGCTAGTGCTCAGCCTACTTTCCACATTTATTTATTATTTATTTATTCACTCATTTGTTGATTCTTTTGGAGACAAAGTCTCTATGTAACCCTGGCTGTCCTTGAACCTGCTAAGAAGTAGTGGTGCATACCTGTAATCCTAGCACTTAGGAGTCTAAGGCAAGAAGATCTGGCATTCAAGGCCATCCTTGGCTGCGTAGATTTGTCTCAAAAACAAATAAAAAAATCAAGAACATTAACGAAGATGCTATTCAAGGCTGTTGAGATGGGCTCAGGCCCTGTTGCAGTACGATTTTGCAGTATAAGGAAAGAAGATTCTGTTCCCAGTATGATATCAGGAAGTAGATGTTTTAGCTGACAAGTGACAGGCAGGAATCCATAGATGGACCATTACTGAGAGGAAAAGAGGGAACAGAACCTTGCACTGGGGGATGAGGGATCAAGCTGAGCAGACACTGAGGGCAGGGAATTCTTGCTAACCTTTGATTTATAGGAAGTGCACTGGTGGGCCTAGGCTAGCCTAATCACTTTGGTCAAGCAGAGTGTCAGACAGTATCTGCTATGTTTCTAAAATAATCCCACCAAATTGAATTTTCTATTATACTATTTTCAATTTCAAAAAGGATTAAAATCTTACAATTTTCTATTCTTAGCTGAGCTTCGATCTCTGTCTATTCCTGGAACATACCAAGAGAAGATTACTCACCTGGGGAACTCTCTGATGCGTTTGACAGCTCTAAAATCCTTAGATCTCTCACGTAACTCCTTGGTTAGTCTTGAGGTGCGTTTTAGGCTTGTTAAAATTTATCACTACAGTATCAGAGGAACATACTTTAATGGTTAAAAAAATGCAACATGTTTTGAAGCTATACAAAGAATGCTTATAAACTGTACATTTAGAATGATTGTGTTATATTGTCACTACTGTTCATCTAAAGCTAAATGCCTTACCCATCCCATTCTATCTTTAACCTACTTTGAATACCAAAGTAATAGATTTCTAAAGAAGATGGATTATTGATGACTTATGGGGGCCCAGCCCCTCGATAGTCCCCTCCCAGGGTCCGGGAAGAATCTACAACCAGCTGATAATTAATCTTTGATGAAAAGACATGAATCTATGTACACGAAATTCCTTAGTCCATACACTTTATTCTTCTGAGTCAGTTCTCTCTATACACAGCTTCTATTCTGCTCTTAAGTCTAGCTCCTTTCTTGCTTGATTTCTCCCTACATTAACCTGCTGTCCCCTCTAAGTTGTATCTTAATTCCCTCATCTTAGTTCTGCCCCATCTAGGTTCTCATCCATCTAGTTCTAGTTTGTAGCTAGAGTTTTCCGCCTTGCCCACAGTCAGGACAAATCTTTGTCACCCACCAGTCCCACAGCCGCTCAGACCCAACCAAGTAA